GGTTTGATACATTATACAAGATTGCTTACAGTTAAAGGTGTACTTCTCCATATATATTGGACTACTTCCTTGTGATTGGCAGTGACATTTGCTTGAAAAATGCTGAAGTTGATGCAGTTACAAGCCAGGGCTGAAATTCACGTGTTGTACCGCACCAATTGACAACCGTTCTGTCAAGGGTGTGCTGTAATCCCGCCCAAGTGACCAAAGGTATTGGTAGAGTTGTGGGCATGAGAAAACTAGCGTTAGTTCTGGGGTATTAGAAAACTTCTCTCTTGTACACTTGTCTGTGCTGAAGCTCCTCTAGATGATGTCAATGACTTCGTTGTGTTTTCAGTACAACGTTTGGTGTTTTCAGAATTTACACAGTTCAAACCGTATCTGTTATCTTCTGCCTTGCCGCAAATATATATTCAGTGTGGATTGTAAGAGGGAGGTGGAGGACTACTGTAGTGTGGATAGTGAGAGTTGAGCCATGTGCCAGTTGGAGACATAAGAGGTCTCTAATGAAGAGGTTCATGCATGGAAGAGCCCTCATCGCTGTGATATAAGCGACCTCTTTGGTTGTTACAATTTGGATGAAGGTTGTAGCCTCTCCTCGATGAGGCTGTTTTAGCCGGATTGCTTGTGGGCTTCATTATGGTTTGAGTGCTGTGGCTGTGAGAGAATCCCACTTGGTGAGGCATTGTGTGATCCCGCTGAGTTACCTACGTGTTCAAGATGTACTTAATCAGGAAGTCAGATACTAAGTAGGTAGATAGGAAGTGGGTGATTGAAGACATTATCTAGGATAGATTTCAATGCAAAAAATGCTTATTTGCCTAGTTTTGGGTTGTGATCAGATGGTGTGCAATATTTTTCGGAGACACGCCTGACAAAATAGGATAACCTGGAGAGGGACTTGCACCCAGGTGAAAATGTAAAAGCCATCGATGTCTTCAGTCCTCTCATCCATCCTATTGAGGTCAGTACACTTTCCAAGGATCTTGTTGATGACATCCGACCCGCGGGGAGTGTGGTAGAGAGTACTGTTCACGGCACGTATTAACAGCTGAATTTCAGACAAAGCACCTTTTAGTTACGTTATCATGCATTTGTTGGAAGATTCTGTTTCTCAAAAACTCACGGTGCGGCAGAGCTCCGAGAGGAAATCTGAGGAATTGGAAATTTTGTGATCGCAGATCGTAACTGAATCACCGCTGTAGAATGATTATATGAACGAATAAAGGTTGATATGTGCATTAGGACAGCAGCACTGCATCCCTTTTGACCAGCTTGAAGCCGTTCTTTAAATCTAATTTGATCAGAACTTGGGGTCTGCAATTTCAGCAATGCATGCTCATGTTGCAATATATACCACCCTTGCAGCCTTGGTCTGCTCCATATACTGAGCTCTTTAGGTCTCTGCATGTTGGCCGCTTCCTGACTGACTATTTTTACAGCAGCCATAGCCACGAGGCGACTGAAAGAACTGCCGACAGCGATGGGCCTGGCGAGTAGCAGCTAAAATCAAAGTTACAGCCCCGCTCCTGTGCCAGGTAAGTCCACCACGGGCTCACCATAGCCCGTGCAACTTGCAACTTTTGGTTGCCAGTACCTGAATCTAAAACAACTCAGTTCAGAAGGTAAAAATGGTGACCAGCCGGGGATGGATGATCAAGTTCTTGTGGACTCAATCTCACGTTGGACTCTGTGAAGATGAACGAGCACATGTGCCAGCGGTCGAGAGTACTGAAGGATTCCACTCACACTGAAGACTTTATCCCTAACACCCTTTTATAAATCAGGAGCATCAAACAACATCACCGTGAGAAGACAGTTGAGGGGAAAACAGGAGAGAAGAGCAAGTCAGTGAATCCATTCACTAGTATAATAAAGTTGCAACTAACAACTCAATCATTATCGAGGAAAAGGAGATGGGCGAAGGAGGGAAATCCACAATTACAAAAATTCGTCTTGGATGAATTTTTGTTCCCGTGAAGATTCGAGATGGAAACAACAGCTGAGCAGCAAAATAACAGAATCTTCAATATGAATGAAGAGACATTAGATATACGTGTAATATAACAAATCCCACATTCTTTCTGTCAAATAACGATCCTGTCTTTTAAAACTTTTCCCACCTTGCATCAGCAGCATATATGTAAACCTAATGGTTGTGAGTTGTTAATCCCTTGTTTGACAGTCTCTTCTCTTGAGACAGTTAAGCAAGTCCCAGCTGCGTTTGGGTACAAGTGACAGGATGAACACCTTAGCAGGTTTTCTTCTAATTGGTGGCCGATGTACTTGCTGCATGGAGTATCTTCACTCACGGGATGAGTGATGCTGCCCAATACTGTCACTATGACGGTGTGTTCACTCACAGGATGAGTGACGCTGCCCAATACTGTCACTATGGGGATGGTATTTGAGTGTAAGAAATATAGCAAATAGTGACGGGTAGAGGTTCAGTTGTTTATACTGAACTAGTCCCCAAAGAATTTTTTTATGTGACCAGTCTCCAAACTTGATACATTAATTGTAAGTGATTCCGTATCGTCCTTAATTGCGCGCGACTCTCAACCGTCACACACTACGTCAGTATGTGACGTTGTGCAACAAAATATACAGGTGGGCTGGAATTTAGAGACAGCTCTATAACATATATTCAAGAAAATTATAAGTATTTAATTGAAAATTATCTACTACCGGACGTTTTAGCCAAATATCACCAGTTTGCAAACTGCAGATTGTAAATGTGGGTGATTGGAAGAAATCATATCATGAAACTGCCTCACTAAATGAGATATGCTATGGTCCCAGGTATGCTATGGGCCCTAGGTATGCTATGGGCCCAGATATGCTGCGGGTATCTGCCAGTTGCTCAGCCTAGAGACTGTACTAGTGATCGTTCTCAAACCCATTGTTGATATAATACTAATATACATTAAACTGTGTAACTATCTTATCAAGATTAACTTGTCTAGCTAAATGAATTTCGAGGTCCAGTTCCTGAGCCCATTGTGCCTCTGTGACTTTTCCCACTATCGCCCACAGAATTGGTATGAGGTACATATTAAATGAACAAAGAAACTTATTTGATAGGTCAGTTGAGTGGTAGTTTAATGGGCTCTCTATAGTCATCCCGTGAGCGGTAATTTATTGTGCACCCCATACTCATCCTGTGAGTGGTAGTTTATCGTGCACCCCATACTCATCCTGAGTGGTAGTTTATTGTGCACCCCATACTCATCCTGTGAGTGGTAGTTTATTGTGCACCCCATACTCATCCTGTGAGTGGTAGTTTATTGTGCACCCCATACTCATCCTGTGAGTGGTAGTTTATTGTGCACCCCATACTCATCCTGTGAGTGGTAGTTTATTGTGCACCCCATACTCATCCTGAGTGGTAGTTTATTGTGCACCCCATACTCATCCTGTGAGTGGTAGTTTATTGTGCACCCCATACTCATCCTGTGAGTGGTAGTTTAGTGTACTGTAACACCACAAACAGTTGTATTTAATAATTCACCGACAGAAATAGAGTCAAGTCACAAAGGAAATTGTAACTGCAAGTCTTTCTTCTGTCCTAACAACAGGAAATCACACCTTAGAGGTTGACTGAGAGGTCAGGTGTTGCAGGTGACCTACCTGGTACCGTACCTAAGCTCATAAATGCACACAGTTTGCTTGTGTTCTCCCTCCACAGATCTCCAGTATCAGCTCTTGGTACTGGTAATGGCTTAAAAGGGCCACCACTTACGGGCTATTCATGCCCGTGCCACCTTTTGGGTGGCTTAATCTTCATCAATCAATCAATCTTGTGTTCTCCCATCAAACGAAAAAAAAACCGCCGTTGCCTTTGAGTTGACAGCAAAGTAGCCCCCAGGGTAGGCGAAGACTAGCTCCTTGAGCCCTGATAAATAGACCAGCAGTTTCACATTCAGGACAGAGAGAAGAATCTCGCTCTATTTTTTTTTTTTTTTTTTTTTTTTTTTTTTGATATATATACAAGAGTTGTTACATTCTCGTACAGCCACTAGTACGCGTAGCGTTTCGGGCAGGTCCCTGGAATACGATCCCCGCCGCGAAGAATCGTTTTTTCATCCAAGTACACATTTTACTGTTGCGTTAAACAGAGGCTACAGTTAAGGAATTGCGCCCAGTAAATCCTCCCCGGCCAGGATACGAACCCATGACATAGCGCTCGCGGAACGCTAGGCGAGTGTCTTAACACTACACCACGGAGACTGGTGCCTATATTGAGAGTTCATCACTGCAGAGCCGAATAGCCAGGCCGGTGTGGGGAATGGGAGCTTGGCAGGCCCACCGCACCCTTCCCCGCCCCTCAAAGCTACTTATACTCAGAGGCCTTTGAGTATAAGTAGCTTTGAATAGTAGTAGTTTATAAGTAACAAAAAAGAGGCCTGGTCGAGGACCGGGCCGCAGGGACACTAAGCCCCGAAATCATGTCAAGATAACTCCATATTTCGCTTCCAGTAGATAAACGACATATAAGATTAAGAAGCAAGTAGTGTATTGTGAAGACTAATAAAAACAAATAGCAGCTTCCTTATGTGTAATATCTCCATAGCTCAAATAATTATGTATTAGTGATAAGACCTACAATTAATGTATAATGATTAACTGTAAATATATAGGTATTGGAATGGAACATTCTCTGTAGCTAGCTGATGTTATTATATTATAAGGTGTGAAGGATAGAGGTAATTGTTAATGTAATAATCACCGTTGAGGTCTAATAAAGGCCTTTTGTGCCCTCTGTAATCCTGTTTGCTGTACTGCTCACAGAAAGAGTATGGGGTGGATAATAAACTAGCCGCCTCTGGCGGCAACAATAAAACAATGTGTATATCGAGAAAACTGAGTCTACCTCTCGGTGTATATATTCCTATCTTTTGTTGGTTGACCCATTGCATGCCCTCGCGTGTTGCTGAGGTACAACGACCCCTGACAGTAGGGTACGATACCCCGGCAGGGAGGTACGACAGTCGTGGCAGCGAGGCACGACAATACTTGCAGTAAAGTACGACAGCCGGCGAGGGCGAACGGATCGGACAAAGGTAGAGCACAACAAGTAAACCTCAACACAGGATGGCCTGAGGTGGCTCAAACCTCAAGTTTTTATCCAATTTTGACCCTGCTCTGACCTGGGCACACTCTTGAATGGTGGAGAGACAAGGAAATAAGCGTGAGTTAATATTGGTCTCACAGTATTTACTCCCGAGATGTCGAATTCAAGTTCCTGCACCTGAAATAAAACATTTAATGTGTTTATTGCAGTGTGTTTTCGTTTATGAACTTGTATAATGTATTTTTAATAATGTTTTAGCGTGTAGCCATTATTGTCAGAGTTTTCATGACTGAAGTATGAAGGCACAATACGTGCAAGGAAGTGTATTGAATGTGATAAATGTTCAATTCAAACGTGTATGGCGGGAGGTAGGAGCGGGTACTCTAATCCAGAGCCAAGTGGAAGAGGAGACTGGGCAAGACCTACAGCTGTAATACAACTGTAATACAGTGGTGTATTTGGGAATCAGGACTTTTATGGTATGTTGTGATAAAAATCTATAACGTGTTCATGTGTGCTATTTTCACTAATATGTACATTACTAGCCTGAGAATTTATTTATGTGCAGCTGTGAAGCAAGTACAATGCCATGTGGCATTTTGGTTAGTAACAAGGGTTATATTGTAATGTCTTGCAAAATTATTTATTGCAGCATAATATATAGTATAGTACAATATGTAGAAACCATGCTGGGGGGAGGGGGGAACCTTTGACAAGCTGCTGGCTTTCTGTCCTTGTTGAGGCTCGGGTAAATTCGGGTAGAAAAGATACCTTAACCCTTTGGCTGCAAATTACATTTAGTTTCTGATGTCAGTTTGGTTTTCGACTCACAATTGAAGATCCCGGGTGAGACAGAAATAGTTTTGCACATATTCATTCACCTAATGTCCCTGTTCAACTAGCAATAATTGGGTACCTGAGTTAGGCTAATGTAGTGGGATTGCATCCTGGGGACGGTAGGCAGTGTCATCATGGGTGGACCTCGATATATGCCTAAGATATATACATTATACACAGGCTTCCTGCCCCTGACAAAATAAATTGTTAATTGAACAAATAATACTCTATCCATTTCTAGCATTAAAATTCTTGAAATCAATTAGTTTAATTTAAAGTAATTAATTCTTGTGTAGTTCTTGAAAAAATCTCAAGTATTGCAGTGCCAGATCACACTTGTCCATGATCATACTGTATGTAAAAAAAATGTATTCTGTAATTTGATTTTTTTTTATTTGATGTAAAACAATCTAAATTTATTCATGAATATTTTTACTTGCATAGAAATTTTTTTCCCCGACTGTCCAAGTGTTTTTTTTTTTGGGCACCATTCCTTTCCCCTGTCCCATCCCAAATCCTTATCCTGATGCCTTCCAAATGCTATAGAATTGTAATGGCTTGAGTTTCTCCTGATAGTTTTTTGCATTCATAATGTCGTTTACAATATATAGTATCACCTAAAAAAGGGCTTCCACACTAGCTGGCATGTCCAGCAGTACCCACCATCTCATTAGATCAGGTGTATAGTATTCATTAAGAATCATTGTATATATGGTCCATATATGAAAATGCTTTCATTCCCTTACAAACTAGTGTACTTCCACTCAACCTTGTCCCTTACCATATCCTGTGCATTGTTCACCCTTTCTGCTTGGCTTAATAATTACTATGTCATGACTTGCATACCACATTGCCGTGACATTTTCATTCCTTGCTCAATCTATTTTAACAATTAATTTTTTGTAGATTATAAGTCTTCAAATTAGTTTTTTACATTACATATAAGAAAAATTCCTGCCCTTTCCCACCTCTTTGCAAAGGTTTATTTACAGTATTTATGATAGTCTATATATTATACTGTACTGTATTTGAAATGCTTTTGGCCTATTATCAGGTTTCTTTTTCCAATATTGTATAATGATTTAGTTATATTTTATGAATTTGCATAAAAACTTTGATTTTGTAAGGTACAGTAATGTATAAAGTATATCTGTAGAGTTGTAATAAAAATGAAGGAAATGCTAAATAAAAGTTCTCAACTCAAAAAAATAAGTATAATTACTGGTTTTGATTTTAATTATTCTAAAAATAATTTTATCACTTGAACACAGCCTTGTTTTATAAAAATGAGTTTTCATTGTAAACATAACGCAATTTTTGTCACTTCAATATTTTACAGGGTTTTTATTATCTAATTGAAAAAAAAATGCTATTTTCATATATTGTACAGAACAGTGTACTTTATTTATACCATGAAATGTAAGAAAATATGAGGTAGTTTTACAACTCTGGCCTTATGACCAGTTTGAAAACATTCTAAGCATACAGAATTTTGTTTTTAAACAAAATAAGAAAATTAATCACTTGACTAAAGTCAGACGATGTAGGTTACCAGATCCCATTGTACCCAGCTATTCATTTTTTATCCAAGACTAGATTTGGTTCCCAATTTTTCTTATAAATGTTGATCTTGTTCTTTTTCCCCCAAGTTTGTGCTCCTGATTACTTTAGTCTTGTTTCATTAGGACTTTCCTTTTTAATTTTTTCTGCCATTTCTTGAATTTTTGAAATATGGTTGTCACAGAATAGTATAAATATAATTTATTTTCTGTGGTGAGCCCAGTCACCTCCCTGAAGCTATCTATACTGATTAAGTGCATACTACTTGGAGTCATTGTACGTAGAGTTCTTGTATGCTTACCGGGGACCTATGTTGGGGGTCAGAACCTGGCTCCCTCAGAGGCGCATGGAGCAGTGGACTATGAACACTTTACATTTTAAGTTTCTCATCTTGCCATTGACCAAGGAAGTGCCCAGAAAGATAGGTGAATCAAAACAGACTACTGCCTGGTTACAAAATGTGACCTATGCTCTCTCTATCAAAACAACTTCCCCACCAAAAACAAACAACCAAAACTTTGTCCAACTAGCCCCCCTGCTCATTAGCTCCACCCCCCCCCTCATTGGTGGGGGGGAGCAAGCCTGGGTGAGAGCCGAGCCGCCAGTTGTTAACCGATGCTCGTGCCTGGCAGTCGTTGGTTCACGCTGGCCACAGTTTCCTATTTTGTCAGTGTTTTGCTTTGCAAGGCTATTTCTGCATGGACGTGTGCACTCACCAGGATTTTAGAATACTGAAGCTTCATGCGCCTAGGGTTACCTTCCCTAGTGCTCCATGATTACTCATGGAGCACTTGGGGTGCGTCGGGGGCTCGAAGATTTCTGTCTTGCCTTGGGCTTCCTGGTAGGGCTCATTCACACTATCGGCCATGAAAATCCCCTGCGGTCTCGGTTGTAGTATGGATATCTCTTCCGAGCCCACTCGTGCCTTCTTCGAATTCGAGGATTGCTCATTGCTCTTGCCTCAGGGTGATCATCATCCATTCTGCCTCTGCCCATGGTTATGACTGCACCTACTCTTCCTTCCCAGGCAAGTGTGGTTCACCCATCTCTTCCCCATCCCCCCTGGTTTCGGCTCTGAAGCGTCTTGAGAGTTTCAGAGCCGGGGCATGGCTTAGCTCGGGGTGAGGCTCTGGTGGCTTCTGGGGTTGTTCCTTCTGATGCAGGTGTGCAGGTAATTGAGCCTCTACTTCCCACTGAGGCTTCTGAGTCATCCCAGGTGGCTCCCTCTTTTGAGGCCTTTTCCCTGGACTCTGCCGTTTCTTTGCCAGCGGTAGGTGAGGATGAGGGCTTGGCCCTGGGGCCCTTGGTGGTGGGTTCCAAGGCTCAGGTGGGAGTCTGAATAGAGCTTTTGGGCTCCGTTTGACACTTTCTACTCTTATACTTTACTACTCTTCCACTTTCTTACTGCTGTATTCTTCTACTTTCCTCCTTTCTCTCATACAGTACTTAACTTTCCCTTTCCCCTGACCACTCTTCCTCACTCCTCCCCTTTCACCTCTCTACCTCCGTCACCCTATGAGTTTTTCGTCCTTTCCTTTTTTCAGTTTTTCCGATGCATTACAGGAGGTTAGTTTTTGGGAGCTGATGCAGCTTCCCCCGGAAAACAAGTGTTGAATGTATTGAAACGCCAGTTTCTGGGCAAGCCCCAGAGGCTTCCTTACACCCTCCCTCCGTCCCTTCGGTCAGCAGCTTTTATCATTCAAGGACTGGCTGGTGGTAGTCTGGTCTCCCCTCCACCCAACATTCCTAAATGAGGAGGGCGTGGAGCTAACGAGCAGAGAGCTACAGTATTCGAACGAAGTTTTGGTTTTGTTTTTGATGAGGGTTCTTTTGATACTTGCACGGAAATCCGATTTGATGCGTAGGTCGCATTTTTCATGTAGGCAGTAGTTTGTTTTGATTCCCCTACCTTTCTGGGTGGTTCCCTTGTCAATGGCAAGGTAACAAACTTTAAATGTAAAGTGCTCATGGGCCATTGCTCCCAGCACCTCTCTGAAATGGCCAGGTTCTGGTTCATGGTCCCTGGTAGGCATACAAGAATTCAGCTACTGATGACTCCAAATAGTATGGTGCTTGATCAGTAAGATAGCTTCAGGGAGATTCCAGAGCTTCCCCAGAAACTTGAGTTTCATCCCGCCAAACACAAACTGAAACTCCAACGTTGGTACAACGTTCGAACAAGTTTTAACACCTAACTAGTTATAACAACCAATATAGCAAGTTGTAACAACATTCTAATACGTCATTAACACGTTAAGCCAAGATGTAACAACTTTATTATAAGTTGTAACAAGCGGAAAATAGACATTTTCGGTTTGTTTCCAGGGATTACATTCAATGCTAGAGTATAGACTTGTACTTGACTACTGTATACTGTAATGAACCACCCACTTCCACTATCCCTGATCATATTTATTTTGTAATATATATAGAGTATTAGTGTTTGCCTGATGAAAGCAAGACAAGTTACAATTAACATAACTGATACATGTCTCATTTATTTAGTTTGAAAGCAAGGCATAATGGATGCAACGTGGAGGAGGATCCTGCGGGAACATAAGGATGCTATAGCTGAAGCGTTAGTACACACAGAAATGACACAACATATCATCTATGAGCTTAGAGAGGAAGGTGTCCTGACTTCAGAAAGGGCAGAGGCATTCAAGGTTAGTATGGAGAGACATTTGTAATGACAATGAGTCACAGTAATGTGGCTGAAGATATGATGACCAAACCACACATCAGAAGATGGAGAAACCACGACATTTCGTTCCATCATGGACTATTATCAAGTCGTTTGTGAGGAAGAGAGAGAGAGATTGATGATTGATGAAGATTAAGCCACTCAAGAGGTGGCATGGGCATGAATAGTCCACTCAGTAGCCAGAAGAGAGGAAGAAATGGGCAATAAATAAGGAAAGAGTAAGGAGTAGGTAAGAGAAGACAAAATGTACAAAAGGTAAGCGTGTAATAATGGGATGAGAGAAGGGTGGGATAAGGTAAGAAAAAGAAAGGGGGTAGGCTTATGTCGGGTCACACTTGTTACCTTGTTAACAAACGTGACCTGACTTGAGCCTTTTCATTTTTCTTCCCTTTCTTTAATTCTTACCTTATTCCATCCTTCCTTTATCGCATTATTAGGCTCATCCCTTTCATACGTTTCATCCTATTCTTGCCTTTGGCTTACTCTTACCTTCTTCTAGGAATTACCGTCTTCTCTTACCTGTTCCTCACCTCACTCTTTACTTATTTATTGCCCATTTCCTCCTCTCTTCCGGACCACCATCTGGTCACCACTTGGTCCGGGAGACATCTCCCGTCACGCAGGGTGCAGTCGCGCCTCCACAGATCTCCAGTATCAGCTCTTGATACTGGTAATGGCTTAAAATGGCCACCACTTACGGGCTATTTATGCCCGTGCCACCTTTTGGGTTGCTTCATCTTCATCTTAACACATTCATAAGGGAGACATCTCCCGTCATGCAGGGTGCAGTCGCGCCTCCACAGATCTCCAGTATCAGCTCTTGATACTGGTAATGGCTTAAAAGGGCCACCACTTACGGGCTATTCATGCCCGTGCCACCTTTTGGGTGGCTTAATCTTCATCAATCAATCAATCTCTCTTCCTGTACAGGCTATTCATGCCTGTGCCATCTCTTGGGTGCTTAATCTTCATTAATCATCTCTCTCCCCCTCACATACGACTTGATAATGGTCCAGGATGGAACGAAACGCTGTGGTTTCTCCATCTTCTGGTGTGTGGTTTGGTTGTAACATTTGTGATACTGTATATTAATATTAAAGTTGTTGGGAAAGGAACTGGGAATATTTATAGATATGACTGATAAAAGGAAAGGAAATTAATTTAAATTATTCATTTTTGTTGAAAATCGTAATAAAATTAAATCGTTGTGTTCATTTATTGTTACATGTTGTGTGCATAGTCATATAAATTGGTTAGCAGGTGTTGTATGCAATTAGTAATATTTTGTTATGCATTATTTCTTGCCCAAAGAATATTAAATTGCCAAAAATGTAAATTTCCTGTCCTGTTGTTGGGGACAGGAAGCTTATACATCAGCTTATCGAGGTCTTCCTTGGCCAGCTACTAACCTTCCCCAGGATGAACCAAAAAAGTTGTCCTACTCCTAAGTACCTACTGGTATTTACTGCTAGGTGAACAAAGGCATCTTGTGAAAGGAAACTCGTCCAGCAATCTGTCCTGTCATGGAAATTGAATCCAAACCTTTGGTTGTGAGCCAGTGACTGGAATTGAACTGTAAAATGTCACCTGGCACAGACTCCTAAGTATATAATAATTAATAAAACTGCAGAAGACCTATTGACCCATACGCTTGAAGCCATTTGGCAATAGCAAGTCTATTATGTTACCCAGTAATCGGTCTGATAAATTGGCAACCCTGCTTCCAAATTAGTATTTACCCAGGTCTTACCCAAATCTAAACTTGTTTAGTATACGTACATTATTTTGTGTTCTGTTTTGTTAATACTGTATATTCAAAACAATAACAAGTCTCTTGTTATACCTCTTTATTTACAGTACTGTATACATATTCTGTACTTCATTCATATCACCCTTTACTCTTTCTTGAAAATGTAATTTATGGTATTTAATCACCTCGCAAGAGGCTGGGATTAACTTCCTTTTCTGAATCCATTAGTCATTTTTTCCATTCTATAGTATGGTGATTAAAATTGAACTGTATTCTCTGAATGGGGCCTAACAAGGAACTGATATATAGCCGAGGAATAACCAAATTATGCAATGTAAGTGTGCGGTGCTACCTTGGGTGACTAACAGCAGTTTCTTCAACTCGTTTCATCCATGCTCAATGCAGTTGTTTGAGTTTTGGTTTATTGAAGTTTATGCTTTAAGAAGAAAGTTTGACTTGCTTAATTAAATTCTAGGTAATCTATTTTGTATTGAAAAGAGCACTGAATCAGTAAATAGTTCATATGTTAATACTTTTTCTGGCAATAATTGAGCTCGATGTTAGCAGTAGCAATGCTGCTCTCAAAGCCTAGGAAAAATACTAACATAAATTGAAAATAAAATTTATAAATTTCAAATACGTAATGGGTAAATTTATAAATTAGATTTGCATATGTTCATTACTTTAGGGCTGTAGCTACACTTAACTGTAGTGCTTGTATAGTATTGTATACTGTACTCTACAATATACAGTACAGTGGATATAAACTTAAAAATGCTCTGACCGTAGTTAATTTGTTTAAATTTTAAAGTAGAAATTGTACTCTTACAGAAAAGGACAAATGCTATTTAATTAAAAGTAGCATTGAAAAAACAAGGAGTATAAGAAACAGTATATGAATGACATGGTGTAATAATATCCTTTAGAGGAATAAGTGCAACAAATGAATACTTGTTAAATGGCAACATTTTTATACCTATAGCAGATGGAAACTACAAAAACCACGAGGATGAAAAATTTGATTTCATATCTTGAAACGTGCGGAGAAGGAGCATTTCAGAAATTGCTGAAAGTGTTAATGCAGTTGGGCCTGAGTGCTCTTGTTATGCGACTAAATGAGAGCATCAACGAGGAACACAGCGGGAACCTTGGGTAATTTCATCTAACATTTTCATGTACAGTACCAGTGTTTTGTTTTAAAATCCTCATATAAGTAGTGTTTATAGACTTTGCTTATACAGTATGTTAATTATGGGATTTAAACAGAAAATAATTTTTTATATTGGTTATCTTTTTTTGTTTAGTGGGAATAGCAATGAATTAGAGGACCTGACGTACATGCCAAACATCCATATTGGACAGCCAGGTCAACTGCCTACACTGCCTCGTCCTCCATGCAGAAGACCCGAGATGCCAGAATATCACATGGTTGAGAGCGGTATCCCTAATGAACCTTTGATAATAGATGTAGTGCCTTACAGGGAGGTTGGGGGTCAGGACTTGGAACCTGCATCGGTAAGTTTGTTTAAATTAGTGTACTGTACCTCTTAATTCTGCAAGTTTAACTTTAATTACATTTGGTTATTGGCAATGTAGCATCTTTGTTGGCTAGTACAGAATTAGCATCATAATAACGGAAACTGCGCTTGCCCAAAGCACTTTGGGCCATACGCAGCAACTTTTTACATCCAGCCACATGTTTATATTTGTCTGACTAATACTTAAATTTTTCCAGTGTGTTTGCTTTTAACATTGCTAAAGTGGAAAAATGTTTTGTAGCTGTCTTAAATACAGCCCACTAATGAGCATTCCTTTGTCTTGTCATCCTTCATTAGCATGAAGAGGTACTTAAAATATTTTGGCAACAATATTAACTTTTGAAGAATATATATTTTGTAAAAGTAATTTCTTAAGATTTTTTCTGGAATAAATCTGTCCTTGATTGATCTTGACTTGTAATTTAAACGTCGCCTAAAATTAACTTCGTAGGTGCATGATTAGTATTGTTCTGATATTTTGACAGGTGACAGATAACCTAGATTATTTACACTGAACTCCATGAAGCATTATTCTGCCATTAATGATTGGAGATAAATATTAAATGAAATAATAACCTTCTGTGATGACCATTTTATCTTTCCAGTTGTTTAATAGATATATTCTCTTCCTCAGGTGTATAAAAATCTCACCATGCCTCGAGGACTGGTATTCATGGCGAATTTTAAAAATTTTAATAATGATGAACATAGTCCTCGTACAGGGTCGGAAACTGATGTGAAAAACCTTACAATGTTATTTTCACAAATGGGTTACAGTATACCAAACGTCCACCTGAATATGAAAAAATACGTTAGTATATACTTTTAATGTTTATAGATAAGTTTCTTGGTACTGTACATCAGCATTGTAAATACTGTATGCCTCTTTCTAAATCTATCTTTATTTTCTCTATCAGTATGTGCTTGACAATATTATGGAGAAACTAAAATTTAAGCAAGTTTCAGATAAAGTAATTGATGAGGTAGCTTAAGCAAACCTCGCACTCGTCTAAATGAATACTACTGTACTGTACATAAATTTGATGAAACATAATGTTATGCAAAAAGTAGTACATTTCTTTTTTGACAAAATATTTATGCAGTTCTTCCACTTGCATATTAATTGCCATATATTATGGTTTTAAACATAAATATGCACACAAATTGACATAGCTACCGTGTTTACAGTCTTAGTGGGCAATTCCTATACTCAAGCAGAATGTCAGTAGTCTAACCCAAAATTCCACATAAACACTAACTCCACAACAAAGTCTCAAAGCTCTTTACATTCTTACTTGACTAGCCCCATCAGCAGGTTATATATGTGCAGATGGAGACCAAAACTATTCAGTTGTGTAGCTTATCATTAGCACAGGCAGTACTGTAGTTTGGGAATGGAGAGTACGGAAAGAGTAGAGTTTACAGTGGAAATAACTTTTGATTTGTGAAAATAAGTTTTATTATGGTGCAGGTGATGTGTAGCGAAGGAGCATTGGAACATTTTCCAGGATAATTTATGACATTTTTGGGGAATCTTTTGGAATTTCCATATTAAAATATAAAGATTTGTAGATTTAAGTTAAGAGTTTGTATAAGCACAGTACTGTACTCTTATCTAATTTCTGCTTTAAGCTGTACTTGCACATTCCCAAATTCTTAATTTAATTTGACATGCTACTACATTATTTTCTTATGCCTTCCTTATTATTATGTACTGTACTGTATTATATACAGTACAGTATTTAATAGTACAAATGTTTGAATTTCAAATGGTAGTGTAATTTACAATATTTTATATTTTCAGGAAACAATAAAGGCTTTAAGGGAATTTCAGGCCCTTGATGACTTGAATTATGTGGACTCTTGCATAGTGGTAATTATGAGTCATGGCCGCGATGAAAAGTCTTTTTACACCTCTGACAATAATTTTCTCAGTGTGAATGATGTAGTGGAAAGGTTCAGCAACAAGGAATGTCCAGCACTACAAGGAAAACCTAAGATATTCATCTTCCAGTACTGCAGGTAAAGAAATAGTGTAATGGTTATTCATCCCAGTTACAGGCACCGGACACTCCAGCAGACCCAACGGGACTGTGATGATTTAACCCTTAAACTTTGTAAAGATTTGTATGTGAAATTATATGAAAATTCAGTCAAATTAATGCTTCTGGAGAGATGATCCCTTGTCGAGCTTTACAGTAACACTTGCGGCATCTCCACGGAAGTAAACAATTAAAAAACTGGCTGCAACACCATTTTTCCGACCCACTCTCTCTCTACTGAGGGTCGTAGTTATAGAATATCAGATATAATTTCTTTAAGGGCTAAACATAGCCTTCCCGGTTTGGTGCCTTCTTTTGATAATTACTTACTTACTACTTTAAGGGCTAAGTATGAAATTGCCTGTTTTTCATATTAGGGATTTGATGTTTTCTTTATTGATTTTATCTTAATTTGTGTACTGTATTACTGTGGAATTTTTTTTTCCAAATTTACTATTATTTATCATGGGACAATATAGTGAATGAGTCTTGAATAAGAAACTTTTACATATAAAAGAAAAGCTCTTTCCAAACTTGTGCATAGAGTCCAATGTGCATATATATGTATTGACACTTGTTTCTTACACTGGCAGCATTTACTGTGCTCAGGAGCATGTGTTGAAGGTCAGACTTGGTCAAACATTAGATGACCAAATTCATTTTTTCTAGTCATGTGGAATGAGGTTCATTTATTGCATCCTATGCCAGTTTTTTCAGTCAACTATTGTCTCCTATCTTAGTCAAAGGGTTAACAACATGTGCACCAATATCTAATGTAATTGAGCAAAACTTGTAATTTCCAGAATTAAAATAAGAACAACTATCTTTGACTGTGCCATTAACTTTGAAACACCCAGTACACTACAGTAGGCATGTCAACCTGAGGGTTCCCCGAGGGCCATGTGGATCACATTTGTGTTGTCCTGAGGGCCACACACCACAACTAATTGAAGTCATTTAATAAAAATTATTGCAGAATATTTATATTACTTAGAAACACAGAATTTGCATACAAATGGTTTAGCGCCTAGCCACATTCATGAAGGGGCCGCATGTTTGACATGCCTGCTCTACAGTGTTTTGGTAAATATTTCTTATTAAATTTTATTGGAATGTGAATTGATTAATATCAGAATACAGTATGGGTATATTTGGTTCCATATCCAATCTCAATAACACTTGTGGCACAGAGTACCAAGTCATACCGTAGCTGCATCCTGAATAAAACAATTTCCATTTCCTGAGGTCTACATGCTCTTGTTATTGAGCTATTACATTCACAACAATAACAAAGTGATAAAGAAAACATGATCAAATTTATGCATAGAACTCTCACCTCAAAGTTGATTGCTTAAAATATGCTAGTGGATCCTGATATGAATTCTTTGTAGATCATGTGTGTCAAGGTTCAATTGTACTTAAATTAACAATTAATTGATTAAATGGAAAAGCAAAATTACAATAGTTTTGAAAAGTATAATAAGTAAAATTCAGAGTGCAAATGATAGAAAGTTGTGCCAGGGGAAGCTGTTGCCAATAGGCAGTGGCAGAAAGTCAATGAAACTGCATAACAATGTGGGATAAACATGTGAATAGAGAATGATGGGGAACTATGTTCTGGAAAGGGAAAGCTCATGGACAAAAATGTCCACAAATAAAGTTGTGTAGATGTTGCTGTTGAAATAGTTGGGTGGTGATACAAAAGATATTCTTTGATAAGTGACTGCAAATTATATGTAGTAAAAGTATTTTTGGGTAAGGGGTTACGAGGGTAAATGGTATGAACATCATTTAACTCTTGCCCACCTTTAACACTTAAACTACTGATGTTGCTCTTAAGAGAGAGACTGATGGTGCTCCTGTCGCCTATGGGAGATTTACTGTGCCTTGAAATGTTAAAAATTCTTTGTTTTATGTGGACGTTATTTGATACTAGAGACATCTGGCAATAGTTTGCCATTTTCAAAGATTCTGAAAGCCTTAGTTGCCTTTCTTTGCATCAGTAAATTAAATTGGCACCATGTCAGGTGCACGACCATCCATTTACTAATGCACTGGACACTCAATGGACACTTAATGGTAGGAGCCATTGATGCTAAATTTCAATGATTTTTATGAACCAGAAGATAGTTGTTCTAACAAATTTTTTACAAATATTTCGCTGGAAAATTAATTCTCCGAATTTTATGTTTTAAACATTCTTCACCTAACTGCAGCCAAACTAAAAAAATTTTTTTCAAACATCAGAAAGTACTGTAATGTTTACAATATAAAAAAAAATTTAATGCTCACCAGGAAATCGACATTAACACAGGTTCACAGTTAGAGGATTAATATTGCATTGCTGTCTTTTCAGTCGAGAGAATTGGGAAAAAGTTATCTGGTAATTAAAAGTTTCTGTAAGTAATAAATTTCCTTGTGACAACTATGTATTGAGTTGGATGGGTGCACAACATTGAATGGTGAAAAATGGACTAGTGAATTGCAAGCAAAAATGGCAATTCTGGCAGAAGATTCAGTATATGAGCTTATTGACCATATACTGTATTTATATATATATACTGTATATATATATTTTGAGTATTTGAAGACTTATAAATATTCAGCATTTTATTATTATTATTTCTTTTGAAAGCTTAAGGTATTAAATACACCTACAGAGGGACAGCACCAGATATTGGAGTACCACCTGTGCCTCAGCCTGTGATGCACAGTCGTGCTCTTGATGTCCAGACAGACTCGGCTCATTTTGGGGAAGCCATTATTGACAGACACCCAACCTACACGGATATGTACATTGCTTACTCAACTGTTGAAGGTAAGAATAAAACTGCCATCTATATTCTTACTCTTCCCAATTTACAAATTGTATTATCTCTAGTTGGATTAAATTCAAATCTGTAGCTTATGAAATGCTTAAAGCAGTGGGTTTTAGACTTTAATATTAAAATTGTTTCTGTATGGACTCTTGCTATATGAAGGTGGCTGAAATAGAAAAACTTTAAGAGGCTCTAATTTTTAAACCAGGCATGTATGAAATTTTATGGTGTTAAAAATCTGAGCTAGACATCCCTCCTTCCATCCGCCCACAGACCCTGCTTGTCATTGTTAGGTTAGGCAGTGATGTGGTGTAGGCTGACTCCATACACAGTTTCAAATGTAGATATGATAGAGCCCAGTAGGCTCAGGAATCTGTACATCAGTTGATTGACAGTTGAGAGGCGGGACCAAAGAGCCAAAGCTCAACCCCCACAAACACAATTAGGTGAGTACATACCTTTAGTCTTATAATAAGGTGATGAATATTCAAGATGTCTCAAGTGAAGGAAAGGACACCATGGAGGGGAGGGGGAGGAATTTATATGGAATCTAAGGCATAAATTCATAACTTGAATATTGAAGCAACTTTTGTCGGTGTAAGAATTATGAAGTGGAATGGGGTTATATTAAATGGTTAAAGGTGCATTCACACTTTAATATTTTAATAAATTACACTTTTTTTTTTTTTTTTTTTTTTTTTTGGTCATTTTGAAGTGAGATTCTCTACCTAAAGATAGAAAATGCCTCTAACTTCTGCTTGTAGCTCTTGCCCTTCAGTTCTGGAAGCCATTTAGTTGCATAACTTTTGCACCTTTTCCAGTTTGTTGATGAGCTTCTTAAGATATGAGCACCATACAACTGCTTTGGCCTAACAAAAGTCATGAACAATTTCTTTGTTCACGTAAGTGATTCACGATTGAAGTCGTGAATCAGTTACATGGATGGCAAAATACTAAAGAAATTGTTTATGACTTCTGTTAGACAAAAGCTGGAATATGCAGCGGTTGTATGGTTCTCATATCTTAAGAAGCACATCAGCAAACTGGAAAAGGTGCAAAAGTTATGCAACTAAATGGCTCCCAGAACTAAAGGACAAGAGCTATGAGGAGAGGCGTAGGCATTAAATAAGCCAAAACTAGAAGATAAAAGAAAGAGGTGATATGATCACTATGTACTGAATAGTAACAGGAATCGATAAAATTGATAGGGAAGAATTTCCGAGACCTGGAACTTCAAGAACAAGAGGTCATAGATTTAAATTAACTAAACAAAGCTGTCTAAAAAACATAAGAAAATTCACTTTTGCAAACAGAGTGGTAGACAGTTGGAACAGGTTAGGTGAGGTGGTGGTGGAGGCCAAAACCGTCGGTAATTTCAAAGCGTTATATGAGAATGCCGTGAAGACGAGTCACGATGAGCGTAGCTCTCACCCTGTAACTACACTTAGGTAATTGTGTACCTTCATCCCCCTCCCACCCCTCTCTCACTTGAGGCCAGTTTTCTTATACTGTCCAAATTGACATAATGCTTTCCTCTTTGATCCAAGTTCCTTCTAGGTTCCAGTTTTTTTCATTTCTCAAGGTTGGACTAAATCTTACTATGCAGGTCTCATACTCTGGAATTTGTGTGTTCCAGGTTTTGTGTCATTTCGTCACCCTAAACGAGGATCTTGGTTAATGGAGGCCATCTGTTTTGTCTTCATGAATAACGCATGTGATCATGAACTAGATTCGCTTATGAAAATGGTAAGATATTATGACTGAAGGACAGTAGAAAAAACAAATATTAATTATATTTAATAATTAAATTTTTAAGCAATCATCAAAATTGTAATCTCACCTATGTGGGGACCCCCATTCCACCTTGCAAAAAATAAATAATAAACAGAAAATCACACTTTCTGGTTTTGTGAGCTGTAGGAGGAAGCAGAGTTTTGAGATCATTGCCATTTGGTGTCATGTGCAAGTGTGAGGACAGTGGTGCAGGGAGAGAGGACTCTACTTTTCAACTTGGATGACATTTTGTTTGTTGCTTCACTTAGTTTACATACTGTAGTGTTTGTGTTGAGTAACTCAATTTATGTATACAGAGCTGAGAAAAAATGATACTGTATATAGACTTGCTATGTAATATGTCCACTTATATTGCACATAAGCCTGTTCCTGGCACAGCTGAATGGAAGTGGCTTAAAACTCATTCTTGCTGTAGTTATCTTCATATGTCATATAGGCATGGATTCAAATGCTGGTGGTAAAGACTGAAATTTAATGGTAATGGCATGTCTGTCATCTTAGCTGTATAGTTGAAGAAGGCAGAGGAGCTTGGTATGTTTGCTGATATTAATTAACTCTTGTATTAAACGAGTTTATTACTGGTGGTGCATCACTGGTCTAAGGTAGACTACTTTACCAATACCATATACTGTACCTGTACAGTATTGAGAATTACATTTAACTTTTGAGATCCCCCGAGAGAAAAGCAGCTATTTTTCTCCAATTTTCTTGGATTCCAAGGAGTCTAATCCCTTTTTTTTTATTGTAAAACCATTAATGTGCCATTTCCTTTATATTTTTTCATTTTACTGCCTTATCTAATATTGCATTTTTTTGTTTTATATTGCCTTAGAAGACACTAACATCTAGACTTTCAATAAATCATTAAATGTTACCCAAGCAGACAGCTTTTATTAGCTAGTCACTGTGTAGCCTTGTGTCGTTAATGTGATTAAGACCACCTTCTGCGAGTCTTTAATTTTATTCATAAAAACTTTAATTTTATTAACCAAACATTGATCTGTTGCAGGTTTCTCGTAGGGTGCGCGATAACTACACTGATGACGGCAACAAGCAAGTGTGCGAGTTTGTTAATAGAGCTTTCGACCGACACTTTTTCTTCAACCCTGAGCCACTGAGAAACACGTAGGACATTATTTGCATTACTTGATCTCTTCATAGTACTTGACCATACACTTCTGAATGAAATAAAAGCTGGTATAGAAGGTAAAATGAAGTCCTTTGCAAGTGTGAACCAAGGTGCTCATTAAGAAGTTTGTGTTAGATAAATTTACCTGGTTTGCAGGAATATCTTATCCTAGATTAAGTAATTTAAGGTAATGAATTGTATAAAATGTTGCCAAAAAGTTCAGTTTTATTTTAATACAATATATATTTTGATTTTACCCTTCTAGATCTTCAACTTCTCTTGCACACGTGATCAAACTCATTCCCAATCTTTTGCTATTCCTTCTCACTCTCGGCAAAGAACGGCAAAATCTGCACACAAATATATAACTATTGGTGGCACTGACCATGGCTTTACCAAGAGTACTATTGTAGTATTTTCATATAGAAATCTATTGCCTCTCCATTGAAAGAAATTTAATTTTTTCTCTCTCTCTCTCTCTCTCTCTCTCTCTCTCTCTCTCTCTCTCTCTCCTTCCCCTGTACTTGTATCATTCCTACACAGTATCACATTAATTATCTAGTCAGATTTACTTCTATACTTATTTATGCTGCATTGCTTTATCACTTTCATTTTGTGCATATCCTTCAAAATATATAAAAAAAAAAAGAATTATTTGCACATGAAGCTTTTTAGTGCTTTTTTTTTTTTTTTTTTTTTTAATTTAAGTTCCAGCTAAAATCAATTGGTGTTGCATCTTTCATTTACTACTAGTACACACCTTCAGTGACACTTTCTATATTTTGAGCCTATATGATGGCATGATGTTTATTATTTTCAAAGAAATCTCAAAGCATGTAATTGTGGGGGATGGGTGACTACCTACAGACACACTAAATAAAGCTTGAATCAGTGTTGCCTCAGGCAGAAGGATCAGGGAAGCGAGCATCACCGATGCAGAGGTAATAACTAATAATGCGAGATGCAGGGGAGCTTGATAGTTTTGCCAATAGTCAAAGGTTTAGAATGAGAGAGAAAATTAGAAAGGGGTCAAATGGTGGGACAGTGCCTATAGCATACATTATTATACCCAACCTATACTATAGTGGTTTGATATACTGTTTTTATATACATATAGTGGTTATTTTCCATCTGTTCTTGAGAAAGTCATTATCTCCGATGAAATGTTAATTGAAGTTGTTCCGAGTTGCTAAAGGTGTTTTTATTGATAATTTTTTTTATTTCATTGATCATTCAGTCAACAGCTATTGTCATTTATTTCAGGGATGCCGTTTATAACCATTACATCATTCTCTGGATCTGTTCCTCCTTTACTATTAATATAATCCATTACAATTATTCTGTACTTGTTGTCATGAGTCTCTCGCTTTAAACTTCCCTGACAAATTTTTTCACTCGTTACTCATCTCACGGAGTATGTGATAATTTATTATGTACAGTATACTTCAACTTCCTAACAAGAGCTGTTCATAATAATCCAATGTGGAGTGTTCTGAACATGTTTGTATTGTCTTAAGTTACTATAGGGTGTCTCTAAAAAACATCAAACTTTGATGAAGAATAATCCAAAGCTCAATTAAACAGCATAGTGATAGACTGGTTTTACATATTAAAAGGAAATTAAGGTTTTCCAGAACATTCCAGTTCTAGGATAGACTGATATCTTTTGTGGTATATTTTTCTCTACTAGAAACAAAATGTAAATACAATGCAGTAAATATATATATATAGGAGAAAATATTATCCACCTGATGTGTTTTAGGAGTGTTGTAGCCTTCCCAAGTGCATGACAGAGGCAAGTTGGTATGTAATAAGCCTGCAGAATGTTGACCAATCGACACACTAGAAGGTGAGGGACGATGACGTTTCGGTCCGTCCTGGACCATTCTAAAGTCGATTGTGAATGGTCCAGGATGGACCGAAACGTCATCGTCCCTTCATTTTTCTAGTGTGTGGATTGGGCAACATACTTCAGCCTCATTATTGTGACTCATCGCCTGCAAGCCTGCAGAATGTTAAGCTTGACAATCCCTCTTGCACGCTGCCTTAGAAACAAACTTGTACAGATGTGCTGCAACAAGTCATTTGTTATGGGCATTAAATATGACTTAAGATACGTTCAGTAGAAGAGAAAACAAGCAAGTTTGGTTCAGTGAATCTTCCTTGAAGTGTAATAATAATATTTAAGTTGACTGTTGTCTTTCAGATTCAGGTTGACAAAGTTAGTATTGCAATAAGTAACTTGACACGCAAGTCTTTCAGATACCATTGTATCAATGTACAGTATATATTTATGTACAGTTTGCATGAGCGGTGATACACACGCAAGAAAACCGACATTAACTTGCCGTTAGATTTGATAATATTTTTCTCCACAATTTTTGTTAATTCCTGAAAATAGTAATTTGGATGACATTCTACTCTTGGTTGTCTTCTTACTAGTTACTGACATTGTTGCTTTCTATTTTCATTTTCCTATTTTCTTCAAATATTTTTCAATACAATACAGTATTAGTTTTAACCTTTGGGTCACTACAGGTATTTAAAAATAACTTATGAATTTTGTGATTTCCTAGAGTGCAGTGCTCATATGTTAGTCTTAGTAATATAATAATTTACTTATTAGAATGAATATATTTTTTTGTGGAATAATCATATGATATAAATCTGGTAATAGCTAATGTTCACTTAGCTTTTAAAGTATGAAAGTGCAATATTTATTGAAACAATTCAGAATTTTGATTGGTGTTAACATTAGTTACCACATCAACCCATTTCTAGATGGCTTCATTGTACATTACTAAGTTATCGGTAATTTATAAAGAAATATGCTATTTAAATAATTTAAGTTAATTTAAGCATTCCAGATTTTTTGTATAAATTTAAGATGAATTAAAATAGTTTGGTTTATTTTGTGTGAACAGTTTTGGATGGCAGGCTTTATGCTAAATGACAGTAAGAAAGATACAAAACATTTATTTAATAAAATTACATAGCCAGTAATAATAAAATTTCAGAATTACCATAATTTTTGCGGCTGATTAAAGTCCCAAATTTCCTGATTTAGACTTCATAGGACTTGTATTTCTAAATGTCATTTTGACATTTAAATAGTATTTTTTAATACAGGGCTCAGTGCACAAATTATATGGTGTTCAATATTAATTTTATTTTATTTTTCTAAACTTTTGATACTATTTTCTGATAACTTAGCCAAGAATGTGGTACAATATATGTACTTTAGTACAATATATGTACTAATAGTATAGTATATGTTAGTAGTAACTTTGAGTAATAGAGCATGCATGTCAAACTTCAGAATAAGTGTATTTCTTAACATTTTCCTTTTATCCACACATTGTTTGGCCCTGTGTAAACAGAAGGGCAGGGCAGAAGAGTGGAAAAGAGCAGGGCATAATTTATAATTCCACTTTTCTATGCATTATGTATCTGGTAATATGACATCCATAATTTGTATAATTCATATGCAGGTAGATATAAATGTGGTTATGCTACTACAGTGTCTTTCAGTATTATAGGTTTTGGCTCTAGCTAGCTCATGTGGTAGATGTTTTCTTTCACAGAGGTTGCTACTCTCAGGTTAAGGACTGCTGCATCATCCCATGTTAGACTATGTGTGATGGCTGGTATTTTGGACAGATATACTGTATTGCTTGCTCTTGGTTGAAGCCAAGTGACTGATGAAGTAACTGCCAGGCAAAATATTCTTTTTTAACTGCCCTAATAATTGAATGGCGTGTAAAAATCTGTTTTAGGTTTGAATCAAACCCATGTGCAGTATTTTAGGGTACAATTGAATGAAAAGCACAGCAGTTTCTTGGTATACTGGGGTACTTCATTATGAACTAGTGTATTTTTATATTCCCTAACATAATTTATAGTAAAAATAAAATATTGTGCTGGCAACTCTTATAAAATAGGCAAATAATATCTTGGTGTTGCCTGAAGTCACTGTAGGGTGTGGATTATTAGAGTTCATATCAGCTGTGTAACTCAAGTTCTGGCTATTTTTTATTACTAAACAACATTTTGTTTGTAATACATATATTGCAGTAGATCTTAATGATAGCATATATAGTGTATTAGTTTGTAATGTGTAATGGTCAATAGCCATACTTTATTAATTACACACTATTGTTCTTTGACCTTGTGTCCTTTAATTGTGCCCAACCTGTGGTTGTCAAAATTCAATATTGGCCATTTCTTATCACCAGCAAATTTAATACAGTCAGGTATTACTGGGTTCCCAGCCATATTGCTGTTTCCTTAAATGAGCGTGCAGATGCTGCTGTGAAGGAGACTATCCACACTTGTCCCATTTCCTGCAAAGGTGTTCCTTATTTTGACTTTCACCAAGTTATTCATTCCTGAATCCGTGCCCGTTGGTAGGATCACTTTTCTTCTGTTACTGGTAACAAACTGCGTGCTCTTAAGGGTAGCTTGTCCCCCATGGCCTTTCTACCATTGTAACCGGCATTGGGAAACGGCTTTGGTGAGGTTATGTATTGACCATACACGCTTAACTCACGGGCACTTAATGGAGCGCTGCCCTGCTCCTTATTGTCCTAACTGCATTGTTCCTCTTAGTCGTGCATATCCTTGTTGAAAGTCCTGACTTCCAGATGTGCGAGCGTCTTGCTTCCCGACTGTCCCTCACGGTCACCTGTCACTCGATAGAATCCTTGGTGAATCAGATACCTTTGATGTTCGCCTTGTGCGCTTTTGTTCTCGTGTTGGCATCCTTAGTGATATTTAGTGCCTTTTGAATACCCTGCACATTTGACGGTGCTACATAGCCTCCCCAGCTTGGTTCCTTCTTTTGATAATTACAGTACTTACTTACTATAGGGTCAGATTTCATGGAGATTACCAAATACATAAAAGTAATAATAATAAAGTTCTTGAAATTTCGTAAACAATGTAGGAGGCTTAGGTGTTGTATTACAATGGTCTGTATTCTCAACTCACAGTTGAG